CTCTCTCATAAAAAATGAACGGTCCCTAATAAAAGTGAAAAAATAAGTAGCCTGTTTCCACAGTCTTGCGATAAGCTAAGCTTGAACCTACCAGCTGCTCTGCCACTGTTTGAGAAAGTTGTTGCTCTGCTGCTATGTCAGCAAGATAAGCCACCTATAACAATAATAACAATTTTCTGTCAGTAAGAAACTTAACGTGATGCTACTGTGTTCTCTGGACAGATTGGGAATTATGGCAAACGTTTTAACTGCACTGTAAGTTCAGACAAAAGATATCTGTCACGAAAGGTTTAATGTCATCAGAACAATATGTTGAGCTTGATAAATCAACATTGCATGTTTGATCACGCACAAACATTGTACCTTGGATCTTTACTATAAATGTATTTCAAATAATAATAATAATAATAATAATAATAATATTAATAATAATAATAATAAGATGTTTTAGTCAGATGATGTAAAAAATGATAGTGTGACTTGTCAAAATGAATCAACCGCTTAACTTTCATCAGTAGAAGACACTAGTGTATGTAGATGGCATGAATGTGTTCAACGTCGCTTGCATATTCACAGTACTAGTATGGGAGCACTGATACATCAGAGCCACAATACCAATATCCTCTGCTGTTCACTGGCAATGAGGCGAAGACCCACTGGACTGTTGCATTTCAAGAAGCTTAAAAATGTCCGGACAAATAAGGCTGTACTGAATGATTTGGCTCGTAACCGAGTCTAAGAACACAAAGGCAAACTGGACATACAACCCCCGTTGAAACACCATTTCCACTTAACAGTAAACGCTGACAAGCATCAACGGAAGACAAATTATATCTAACGATTAGATTATGAGCTCAGAGTTTCTACGTCCAACGTGATAGTTGACGAGGCCGAAGGCCGCATCAGCTATTACCGCTGTCATAAAACCGTTTTCTAGCGCTAGTCCACTTGGCAATGCTTCGTTGACTATTCACTCATAGAAAAGTCGGGCTCATAGTCTAATCGTTAAATAGCATACAAGTAGCTCAGAGTAGCTATGAAGATATACAGTGAAACTTTAGGAGTGGCCAATGGGCAACTATCTTATCCTATACTTATCTTGGACATAGTTCTTTTTACAAGACCAATGCCACTCTCCACCAAGGGATATTTAACAATTAGACCCGTGGCCCTTGAGGGCGAAAGGTTTAATTGTTTTAGTATCACCCAACTAGTGGGACAGAAAAGGCAATAATAAAGT